CTCCCTGGTCTCCCGCGTCCTTTTTGCTCCTCCTAGGTAGCCTGCTACAGTTACCTATAAAAGTTATTTCCAGGGGCCCAGCAGGGGGCGTGGTGGGTAAAATACTAGACTCCCACATGGTTGAGTGCGGTTGAATCCCAGAACCGGTAGCTTGAAACTCATGCTGAGTGCGTGTGTGTGCATGCGCAAAATCTCAGAAAAGAAAAACAAAGAGAGACCAGCAAATGGCGTAATAGTTACATCACACTCACACGAAGTCAACCACGGATCCAGTCCCACACCTGGCGACTTAAAACACGCTGGGTGCATGTGCGCGTGTGCCCAAAATGCCGAGAGGAGACTGGAAGAGAAGGGATTGTGGTGTGGCCAATCCCCTTGCGGGGGTAGAGGGAGTGATTTCTCACTTTCTGCCTCTCTCTCTGTCTCTCCACAAGCTTACAAGCCCTATAGCACAGATCTCTAAAAAATAAATAAATAAAAACACACAACCAAATCTCTGTAAAAAAAGAAAAAAAAAGTATGTGCAGTTTGTTCCTGTCTTTCCCAAGCCCCATCCACGGCTCCCCAGGGTCCTCTGCATCAAAATCAACTTCTTTGATCCTACATATCACATCAAAGTCTATTCTTTTCCTTTTTTTTTTTTTTTTGGAGAGGCTTTTGCTATAGGGGGCGTGCACTCACCAGACAGAGAGACAACAAGCAGAAATCACCCCCCAGGGGGGATGGTCACGCCGCAATCTCTTCTCCTCCATTCTCCTCTCGGGATCTTGGGCACGCACGCACACGCGCCCAGCGTGAGTTTTAAGCCACCGGGTCCGGGACACGAACCACGGTCGACTACATGGGAGTCCAGCGACATGGCCATTACACTAACTGCTGGTTCCCATCAAGGTTTATTGTAACTCTTGTATTCGGATCCCCGAGAAGCCCACCTTGGCGAGGAGGAGCACATCGATGAAGTCCAAAGTCTTCGCCTTGGCCTTGGCCTTGAGGAAGTCGTCCACCCCCTGGCTGGGGAGGGTGCGGCGCCGCTCCCGGATGATGGCCTCCGTGAAGTCATGCACCAGGCGGCAGGCCCTACGGAAGCGCCGCCCAGCAGGGGTGAGGTAGTACAGGGCGTCCGCGTGCAGGAGGAGCTGCTGTTGTCTTTTCACCACCAGGGCACTGAGCTCCAAGATGGTGGCGATATATTCACTGGGACTCCTGCAGGGCCAGAACCGAGAGAGGAAGCTAGTCTTTCACACACACAGAAGCCTGGGAGCATCCCTTCTGCAGGAACCCCAGGACTGCAAATGGAAAGGGGTGCCCTCAAAGCAACCTCTCTCTCTGCTTCCTATTTTCAGGGAGCTGCCCCATGCCCCAGGACCCAAGGTGGACATCATCTTCTCTCTCACTTGCTTTTCTTTTCTTTCTCATTTTTATTATTATCATTATTATTTTGGAGAGGTTTCTGCTAGAGGGCATGTGCGCTTGCTGGAAAGACAAGAGAGAGAGACAGAAAGTGAGAAATCACCCCCCAGGGGTATGGCTATGCCACAGTCCCTTCTCCTCCATTCTCCTCCAGGATCTTGGGCACACACGCAGATATCCGGAGTGAGTTTAAGCTGCCAGGTCTGGGATTCGAACTGCAGTGGATTATGGGGAAGTCCAGCAATGTAACCGTTACGCTATCTGCTGGTTCCTCTCTCACTTTCTCAGCATCAGGTCCTGTTCATCCTTCCCTGCTTTCTTCCCCATGTTCTCCTCCAAGCTCAGACCTCCTGCTTACTAGGTCTCCTTGCATCCTACATTGACATCATAGTCAATATTTTTTTTTTGAGAGTTTTTTTTTTCTTTGTTACAGGGACCGTGTGCTTGCCCGAGAGAGACAGACAGAGAGACAGAAAGACCACCCCCCAGGGGGGATGGCCACACCACAATCCCTTCTTCTCCATTCTCCTCTCGGGATCTTGGGCATGCACGTACACACGCCTGGTGTGAGTTTAAGCCACCGGGTCTGGGACTCGAACTGCGGTCGACTACATGGTAGTTCAGTGACATAGCCATTACACCAACTTCTGGTCCTATCGTAGTCAATATTTGACTCTATAGAGTGAAATGTTCAAGTTTCATTTTGTTTCGCTTTTAGAGTTTTTGCAGTAAGGCATGTGAGCTCGCCAGAAAGAGACAGAGACAGTGAGAAAGAAAGTGAGAAAACAAGCCTGCCAGGTCCAGGACTCAAACCACAGTTGGCCATGTGGGAGTCCAGTGTCCCAACCACCATGCCACCTGCTAGCCCCCTAAGTAAATAATTCTTTTTCTTTTTTAAGAAGAATTAGTTTAGGGACCAGCAGTTGGCTAGCAGTTGGTGTAATGATTGCGTCTCTCGACTCCCGTCTAGTCGACCATGGTTCGAGTCCTAGCTTGGGTGGCTTAAACTCGCACCGGGTGCGTGTGTGTGCGTGCCCAAGATCCTGAGAGGAGAATGGAGGAGAAGGAATTGCAGCATGGCCATCCCCCCTGGGGGGTGATTTTTTGCTTTCTGTCTCTCTGTCTCTCTGTGTCTTTTAGGCCAGTGCACGTGCCCTATAGCAAAAACCTCTCGATAAAAAAGAAAAGAAAAGCAATATTTCAT